AAAGTTACTGAACATCAATGTGACAGTGCATTTCCATCTATTTACTTTTTCGGGGGGAATCAGAGGCTGAAATTCGGCCTGTAAGGAACCCATGGATTACCCATGGATGACCTAACTGTATTCATTTGGATTTAATATGCCATTATTTCTTCAGTCTGCACACTGACTTCAGAGAAGTTTATGCATTGTAATTTCAAATCCAGTTAGGGGGAAATTAAATTTCTCTTTCTAAATCATATTTCCAGTACACAAAAAATTGTTCATTTGTATGATGAACAAGTAAGAAACTTAACCTTTAAAGCATTTACGCACACATTCACACCTGCACCACAATCAATTTCCGTGCAACTTTTTTCTCCTAATCATAGCCAATAAAAGAGTGTTGTCTCTCTGTTTCTGCGTCTGCTTCCCGTACATCAGGATAGCTTGTCATTTCTCTTTGCTGAGTGCTCCTCCTCCTTCCCCTAGCTCCACTTCTTCTTCTTCCCCTGTCCTCACTCTTCTGCATGACCAGTTCCATGTCAGCCCTTAATTGTGTTTTGATGTTCTTCCAGACCTGCAATTGAGCTCCATTCTCGCCAGCCAAAACAGAACAGACATTTGTCAATGCGCAGCTAACGTGATATTCCCCACTCTCTAACATGTTATCTGCTGCTTTTATCCATTTCATCCTCTTTTCCTCTATCTATCTATCTATCTATCTATCTATCTATCTATCTATCTATCTATCTATCTATCTATCTATCTATCTATCTATCTATCTATCTATCTATCTATCTATCTATCTATCTATCTATCTATCTATCTATCTATCTATCTATCTATCTATCTATCTATCTATCTATCTAGCAACACTTCAGAGTTGTGCAATGAAGCAGTAAGATCAGAGAAGGATGAAACCAAAGACCTTCTTCCCCCTCTGGGGCCAATGTCACATGTAATAACTGTTACTTATAAGGCAAACTCTCTCTCTCTCTCTCTCTCTCTCTCTCTCTCTCTCTCTACCTCTCTCTCTCTCTCTCTCTCTCTCTCTCTCTCTCTCTCTCACACACACACACACACACACACACACACACACACACACACACACACACACACACACACAGTGTTAGACTGTCCTAACACTCAACTAAGCTCGGCTTGAGGAGTAAATATTTGTGCTGTGCAAGCTCTAGACATAGGAAGGCTCCTCACCTCAGCACTGTGCCACCAAATCATAAAATATTCAGAGAGAGGAAGACGGGAGGAGGGGAGAGAATGAGGGAGTGGGAGAATGAGAGGAAAAGAAGGATAGAGAAAGAGCGAGAGAGAGAGAGAGAGAGAGAGGGAGGGAGAGAGAGAGAGAGGTCACACATAACAGAATGAGATGGACGGAGGGGAAGAAGTGCGGGCGTAGGTGGCTCGGTAAAACAGCACAAGATCTGAAGGGAAGGTGTGGGTTGTTTGTGGAAGGGAGGAGAAAGGGGAAAAACAGAGGACATGGTGAGGGAGGCAGAGGGAATGAACAACAAGGCTGAAGGGAGAGAGAATAAAGCACAGAGAGGAAAGGCTGAAGAGTGTGAGAAGACAGAACGAAGGCTAAAGGAGGAGAGTTGGAGAGGAGGAATGGGTACTCTAAAAGTAGAAGACAAACAAAAATGTAGCCTGACAGGCAGACAACATTAGGAATAATCACACAGCACAATGTGTGGTGTCCTACAGCAGAGGAGATGTGTAAGAGTAAATGGATTGCGGGAAATGATGCTCTAAAGCTCTTAATGGTCCCAGTCAGTCTGCAGCTGAAGAGTGATAATCCCTATCCAGGACTTAATGAGGGTTTATTCTTTCACAGGTCATTCTGTCCTGGGATCTTGAAAGACTTCTCACTGTTAAAGCTGCTCTATTCACAACCACTCTGCTCACTTTGTGACTTTGAGGAATCACTACACCATACTGCTATCCTTTTTGTGGTATTTGTTCTTGTGACTGAGTAATGTCTACTTTGAGTTAATCACAGTAATTTTACTAAAAAACAAACCAAGGACTTTTAGCCATTTTCAGCCTTTATTTCATAAAATTCTATTTCCCCAACAAGGTGAGTCCCGAGGCAAAGGTGATGCCAGTGCTGCTTGTTGTTATTGTGGACCCTCTAGTTGGCTGATATTCATGAAAATTAACACACAGGTGGAGCATTGTCAAAACAAGAACTAAAATTTCTGCAAAACTGCACTGGCCACACACTAGTGATTTACAGTTTTTAGCTATGCTGTCACAGCTATGGGTAATAAAGTCAGCCATTTAGATGGTAATACAGTATCTCAGCAATGATATGATGGATATTCATAACATTTTGCCAGTTAGATCCCCATGAATTAAAATAGCAGGTGCTTTTTCCGCTGCTGTGACCCTCAGTGGTTATGCTACGAGGGTCCGTCGGCAGTAATCAAGAGACATGGGTTTGCTTGATTAAAGTTATCATGACTTTTACTTTTAAAAATCACCTGCTGTACAACAACAGCCAAGTACTATTTCTTTCTATTCACACTTCTTCATTTGGCAGGTGCTTTAGTGTAAAACCACAGCTGTGCTTTCGATTCAAGGTTGAATTGGGTGTGTGCTATTTTTAAAGTTAACACACTAAAACCATGTGCGGCAGGTAAAAGGTAAAGTTGAGAGGCGTTAATGATGCTGCTGTTACAAAAGGCAACAAGCCAATATAATTAAAACAATCACAACAGTGACATTTGCTGAGATAATTTGCCTTTGCACACATTCATTTGGTATTTATACCATTTATGTATAATATAATAAATCTACGAATTCCCTGTATGTGCATGAATGTTGTTTGCACTTCATTCATATGATCAATGTCAAACTTGACAGGGTTGTCGCTAGATATCATCAAATGTAAAGGTATGAACTGATAAAATAATAGTTTAAATAGTTCTTTAGGTTCATAAAGCCCCATCCTTATATAAAGCGATTCCCTCTCTGCCCATCACTTTTTAGTAGAAAACAAGTCACCAGTGGACACTCCGTCATCTGTCAGTCAACAATATCTAGTCATCAATGTCACTTCAGAAGCAGTTATTTCACCTGTCGTTGCCACATGTCTCCAAATGTCATTGACATCTCAGAGTCTCTGGTGGCTACATCAGCGCTAGTCTATTCCTGTGTGTACTCCCCTTTATGCTTGATGTCTCACTCCTCTGGTGCCTGTATACCGATGTCAGACAACATAGTTTATAGATTAAACCTCCACTCACTGTGACATCTAAATTCGCAGTCGCAAACATGCCTGTAACAGTGACAACTGCAATCGTTAGGAAATATTGAATATCTGCACTAAATTTCTGGGAAATGGATGATTTTAATGAGGACTCATTCTTTGAGAAAAAATTGTTTGTAGGAAAAATGCACTCACTCCGTTTGCTTATAGAGCAAAAATAGAATCATGAAAATATGGAAAGCAGTTACATTCAATTCCCTCTGCGGGAAGTAAATGGCTTAAAATTGACCGTTAGGATCAATAGCCACTAGTCTTTCAAACAGCAGTTCAAATGGAGGATACAAGAGAAAAACATAACGCTGAAAACAAGTGCAAATACTTTACTTTTTTTCTTTTTAAAGTATATTGTAAAATATGGTCATTTTCAGGTTTCACTGTCTGTGAGATTCAGGGGTGTTTCCATGATTTTTATGTGGTTGTTGTCAAGAAGGCTGACACGACTCCCAGAGACCTGCAGCAACATAATCAGAAGGCTTAAACTCTGTTGACTGGCAGTGTCCATATTATGTACATTACACTTTATAACTAACCAAGAAAGGCTGCTGTGTACAGCACCACTGTATCGTTAGTGCCGAAAGAAGCAGGTGATGTTACACTAGGTAACCACTTGAGTCATAGCCAAAGAACCAATGAGCTCTATATTTGTTATGAAAACAAAGTTAAAGAAAGGGAATCTAAAAAAGTTGTTTTTGAAAGTTAATATTTTTTGTCTACTTAAAATTGGCTAAATTATCTAGAACTTTAATTAAAAGTAAATGCATTCTCTTAAACAAGAAGCCACTGACAGCAGATGTTCTCCATTCAGGATTCATTCAGTTGCCCTTTTTCCTGATAAACAACTTGATTTAAAAAAACTAACAAAAAAAAGCATTGAAGTTGCTTTGGGTTATAACAATTAGATTTACCAAAGTTAGTCTCAGTAATCATGGACAGGTTGTCAATCTATCGCAGAGCTAACATCGAGAGACAGACAACCATTCACACTCATAGTCAGTTTAGAACTGCCAGTTAATCTAACGGCATGCATGTCTTTGGACCGTGACGGGAAGGTGGAGTACCTAGAAAAATCATACAGGGAGAATATGCAAACTCCACTGAAAGGCCCCAGATTGGAGCACATTTACTCTCCCTCACCTGACCTGTAACTCTGGAGTCCATACGGTGATTATATCATCCCTCCGTCTGCAGACTCTAACAGTTGTTTCCACTATTGTGTTACAGCTTGAGGCTCACAGGCCATTAATCAGGATGGGTCTTTGGAATCGAGATGAAAGTCTTCTCTACACATGTTTTATCCAGAGCTTACAGTGTAACTGTAAATCATTAATTTGGTTCATTTCTATTAAGACACCCACTGCAAGATCTATGTGTGTGTCTGTTTGAGTGCACATTCAGTCCATCATACTCTGTATTAACTTAAACCATATCTGTCTGCTTTCCTTCCTCCCTGCCACCATAAATAGAAACTGCCCCAGACACATTACTATTCCAACAACATAATCCAATGCAGGTATAACCTACATCACAGCACAGAATTGATACACTAGTCTAATAATGGCTTCATATTTCCCTCTATATCCCCTAACGTCCCATGGAATCAATACCACAGCAGAAGCCGATGGAAATGACGCATTTTACATGATGTAAAGTGAGAAATGAGGTCACATATCAACAAGAACAAGTTTTATTTGCTTGCAAGGACTTGGCAGCTGAATGTCTGGTTGTGGTACAAAAAACCAGCTCCTCAGCCTGCGCCAGAGCATCCCTCCTATCCTGAGAGGAGGGAGAGGGAGCGCGAGATACACGCAGTGATACAGAAACACAACAGGGGATGCACCGGCTGCAAGTGAGTCGTTCGGGATTGTTCCCTTTTTCTTCTCTCGGTTGGGGATGAAAACACTGACTAACAAGCGCTGCCCACTGACTTTGCCACGCACACAATCGTCGGAACTTCGCTTTTGGACACTTTTGTCGTTTTGTGCGCTTGCAAACGTTACCCTGTGCGTGTTTTGAGGTTCACAGATCAATACTCATCGAATTAAGTATTGTTATCATTTAAGTTACTGCAGCTTAAGTTGTCGGGGTTTTGCGCACAAAGACTGGCGGTGTACATCTCTCGTCTGCCCGTGCTCACACGGAGGTGTCCGGTATGCGTGCCTAAAGAGAGAGAGAGAGAGAGAGAGAGAGAGAGAGAGAGAGAGAGAGAGAGAGAGAGAGAAAGAAAAAAAAGAACGAACTCCCGTGGATGCGACCGTGACCTCCTGAATCTGGATACTGGGGGGTGGGGGGGATTTCACTATCCTCCTTTATGATACAAACCTTACCTTTTCAGCGAGGAGATCTGTTTAGGAGTCTGTGCAACGTTTCACTTCTGAGCGCACTTGTCTGACTCAACGATGAGCTCCCGTGGGAAATACTGCGTGTTTTTGTTCTTGCTTAAAAGTATCCTGTCGGACCCGGGAACCTCAAATCAAGGTGAGTAAAGGGCGTCACAATGACCACACACTTAGAGCAAGGGTGGATGCACCAAATTAGTCTCCTCAAACAAAAACACAACACGCACGCTCACACGCAAAACGCAAAGTACAGCCTTTTTCAAGATTTGAGAACATGTGCATGATGAATATTTAACGAAACAAGTTAATAATTTGTTCACCCATTAAAGCCTGACGGATTTGCTTTTTATTTGTGATTTGTGGAATTTTCTCTCTTATGCAGCTTCCCGGCATTTGTCAAACAATAACAACAACATTAGCGTTTGACGGATTTTAAAGTGCACTCTGCATTTGCAGCCTGAAAATGCATCTGAGATTTTCATTTTGTCGGCCGGACCCATAGATGTCAGTCTTGGTTTCAATACGTTTGTGTTTTGTCCTAATTAATGATCCTGTATTGCTTACAGCACACATCATCCAAAGGCAACATTAAGTCAGGAAGTTTTTCAGATCATTTGACTTAAAATGATACTATTGTTAATGTGAAATTTTCTAAACACTCAACATACAGTCATTTCAGTGGAAAGGCACAGGTTTAAAAAGAATCAGCACTGCACATGCATTTCAGTTTCATAATGCACAACACACCGAGAGTTCAACTGCAAAAAACAACAACAAAAAAAAGATTCACACCATGGAGGCTGTCTGCTGCTTGGTCTACAGGCTGAAGCTCCTTGAGCCAAAATGACATCTTATTCACCTCCAAGTGCACAGAAACATCACCACAGCTATAGGAACCACTCAGTGCTACTGTAAATGGCAGCCCCTTATATTGCGAAGAGGATTCCTCTAAGGCAGGTGAATCTTATTATGCTGGGCCAGTGGTTGACAGTAGCTTCATCAGAATAGCTCTCCATATTTCAGGATTCATTTTCAAGTCATGCTGACATCAGTGTGCAGTTGCATATGTTTGAGAAAGACAGGAAATAATAGTGTTATTTCTCCTTCGTTGTGCTTGCAAGTCACATGGGTAAATGGTTGCCCTAATGCAATCTGTTCTTGACATCTTCCTCTTTGCACGTTTGCAAAGAGGTCAGTTTAATATTCCTTCCTGAATGTTTAATGTGTGGGATACACGTTTTCAAAGATGACAGGAGCTTCGCTAGCCAAATGTCAAAGTCTCCTTCACTACATTTTTCTGTCTTTTGTGGGAGTGTGTGTGTCTGTGTGTGTGTGGGCGCACACTCATTTTCCCCCACAGGATGTCTGTCTGCCTGTGGTGGTGACAGGCTTAAAGAAGAGGGGATGCACACAGGGGAAACTTGAAAAAATGACATCGTGAGGTGTTTAAAATGTAGTGTGAACAAGCTAATCTATGTTAGATGGTGCAATGTGTCTGAGTGAGTTTTCTGAATGTGAATCACATGTTTATGCCCTCATAGAAAAAAAGAAAATGAGAGTCAGAAGACAGTGTCTGTGGGGGTTTTAATTGAGTCATAAAACATATTTGTTTTCTATAAAGTATATTGAAGATTGTTAAAGGGAGTGGTAAATTACCGTTTAAACTTAATTGTTCATAAATAATTTCAATCTGCTTATTGTCAAAAGGGAACCTTTTAGACGAGGCTCTTATACGGCATTTCTGTAAAGTCAGCGTTCTCACAAGAATAGGCGGTAATATGGAAGCAGCATTTTTTGCATTATAATGTATAGGAGTGGGAATTCAGCACAGACATCCACACTGTGGTGCAAAACTACACAGTTGATGTGCTGGTCAAAACAAGGCTCTTTTGTAACATAATAGGTTAGGCTTGTTCTTAGCTAATGAGAGGCTCTCCAACTTGTGAGTAACCTTAAATAAGTGTAGTTTGTAAGCAATTGAGTCTGACATGTTTGTGTTTCCAGTAAAGTATCTAATTCATTCCTTGGAGTCTTTCTTTTGTCAGTTTCGGTTTAGAGTCTAGAGTCTTGCTTTTATTAGATTCCTGTGGACAGCAGTTCAGCCATGGAAGTGTTGAGAAGAAGTGGATCCCAGACTCACATGTCCCCCGCTGACTTAAATTAAAATTGCTCATCTGGTACATGAAGTAGAATCAGTCTGCAGTCTTTCAGACTGCATGACATACTCACTTTACTACATGACAAACTGCTAAACCTAAGCCCATATAGCCTGCTTATAGGCTCATTTCTATGACAAATGAATGCAGGTGAACATGCAGAATCTCTAAAGGATAGGATTTTCACCAGAAGCTTTCTGTTTCTCTTTGTAGTCTGACTTCTACTGGCAAATTACATTTGTCAGGTAAACATTCCATGCAGAGAGTAAAAGATTTTATTGGGATTGTATTTGTCTGCTTTTATAACAAAAATCTAGGTTTATTAATTTTTTTAACATACAACCTGTGGATGGAACAGGAACTCTTTTCCCAGGTATCCACTGGGAAGACTGGAAGCTCCAAACAGGTGTCTGTTTCCCTGAGGTCGTTTGGTTAGAATTATACTAGGAGAGTTGCACATAACACAGACAAGTTGTCATTCCTGTTATACTTCATTGAGGTCCACATGAAGGGTAGATAAATAGTTGGTGCACTGTTATGTAGTGTTATCACAGATAAGTCTGCATAGTCATGCATGCTTTAATTAAAACATGAGAATAATTATTCTAATGACAATTAACAATAAAAAAAAAGAAAATGTGTGTGTTCACCATCTGTGCCCTTTCCCACAAAGGGGTCCATAGAACAGATTAAAAAATGGGTAAAGTGAAGAGAACTGTAATGGTGGCTTGTGCAGATGCAGGTGTTCAGCTCTCTTCTGCTGTCACCCTCACGTTTTCAGTTCTCTTAATCTATTGTTCATTAACAAAATAGCAGCCTTCGTTACATATGCGTCGATTACCATCTTTCTACTATCTATCAGGGACTATGACGTGGATCTTGTATTTGACGCAGTTTTTATCCTGCTTAAGATGTTGTGCACACCATTCTCCACAGGAATAACTGTCCCACTAATGAATTGGCACGACCACGAAGAAAAGTGCAGGAAGTGGGCTAGGATAACCGAGGGGTGGGAAATTAATTTTCCTCAAGGGGCCACATGAAAAACTGGGACTGTTTTGTAGGGCTGCACAAATAAGCTGAACTCAATTCTGCCTAATATTAATATTAATTTGATCTCTTTATAAACTATTACCGATGAGAATAAATATTACAATTAGCCAATTAAAATATGAACTAGGCAGAGGCAAAACACAGACGTTCTATCACCATTTAATCAACATGCACAACAAAAACAATTGTGCAAGTTCTTGCTGAATTTCAAATATTTTTACCTTCATACAAAGTGTTACTCTTTTAATTAATTACGTCATCTTTCTCAGTCTTGTTTTCTATGTGAGACAAATTCAGTCTGTTTTGGGTATGAACAAGGGATTAAAGTCAGGTTCGATATCTGAGGTTGATATGGAAGCGCGATAACATCAAAAACTTTACCTTTCCTTTCACAAACCCTAGAATTTCAACTCCTTTTAGGAATTTGCCAAGGCTGAGGAAACTGACAGCTGTGTGGTAGCCTATGTCACCATGTGCATTCTCATACTCCTCCAAATGTGAAATAAATTATATATAACTCAGTGCTTTCGCATTGGGGAAGTTAACTAATTTAGTTAAACAACATGGCTAATTTTTAGCACTGATTTACACAACGTCTCCTGATGTATATTAAAATGCAATAATATGAATTAGAGCTCTGGGATAATCTCAGACACTTTTATTTTGCACTTGCTTTAACAGTGCAGCATTGTTCCCAGTCAGACTCGGGACAAACTGGCAGGTGTTAAAACTGATGGCTGTCTATTTCATAACCTAGCCAAGCGTGATGTTGCATCCATTGAGAAATCAGTCCCTGCCATATACTCTTTAAAGAGGACATGAAATGCTACGTGTACAGAGGCTAATTTACACCAAGGAGCCCTGCTATCAAAAACTTACATGGATTTCAATTGTCTGTGAAGCTGAATTTAAGAAATAAATGTTGAACGTGAAAGTTTTTAGAACATATTTAGTACCATCTTGTGTCAGTACAGAACTTGACATCACTGGGTTGGTTGTTTGGCTGCAATCAATAGACTTACATTAGTTTATGTTACCTAAATAATAACAGAACTAATAATTCAGGGAAAAACAAAGGAACTAAACTAGATCGCATTGTAAGGGAACAGTGTTGGGACTAACGCGTTATTAAGTAACGCGTTACAGTAACTACGTTATTATTGTGGTAACGAGCACGGTAACTAGTTATTATGCCAAAACC